CTCTCTCTCTCTCTCTCTCTCTCTCTCTGTGTGTGTGTGTGTGTGTGTGTGTGTGTGTGTGTGTGTGTGCGTGGGTGTGTCGGTGCGTGCGTGTATGCTCGTTCGTATCCTAAGCTCAATCCCAGCACAATCCTCGAGAGAGACTGCCCGTACAGCAGTCTCTTCTTCACATACCACAGGTCATGAACCTTCTATCCCATACCCCACGGCACGAACCTCTCTCTCTCTCTCTCTCTCTCTCTCTCTCTCTCTCTTGCCCTCTCTCTTGCTCTCTCTCTCTCTCTCTCGTTCTCCGGCGTGCCGACTGGCCCAAGGAAGAGCGGAAACCCGACTCCCTGACCGTCTCTCTCTCTCTCTCTCTCTCTCTCTCTCTCGCTCGCTCGCTCGCTCGCCGGCGTGCCGACTGGCCCAAGGAAGAGCGGAAACCCGACTCCTGGACCGTCGGAAGAGCGAACAGGACAACGCACACACACACACTGAGGCGCACACACGTTTAACTCCGCGCCCAGCAGCGAGTCCTCTAGCGTAGTGTGGAGGCGAGTAAACAAGGGGAGGCTGAAGTGTGCTTGGAAGCTGCAAGTCGTCACTTGCCGTACTGCTCTCTCCCCTCCACCTCTCTCTCCCACTCCTCTTCTCAGCCCACTAAGTACTACAACATCTGAGTTCAAGTGCTCTCTCTCTCTCTCTCTCTCTCTCTCTCCCTCTCTCTTGGTCACTCTCGAGATCACCAGCTTTGCTCTTCTTGGAACTACCGTAGGACTCCGACAGCCCAGCACTGAAGTAGTAGCGTATAACTCCACTCGGGATACTTCCTATTTCAAAGGAATTCTCTCTCTCTCTCTCTCTCCACAGAAGTATCGACTAACTCCCTGATCTTGGACAGTTCCTATTTCAAAGGTATTCACTCTCTCCCACCTCTCTCTCTCTCTCTCTCTCTCTCTCTCTCTCTCTCTCTCTCTCTCGGTGTGTGGGGCTGTGTTCCTGTGCCGCTCACCAGTCATACGCTGTGATACGGTTATTGTTTTTTTTTTTTCGTTTTCTTGGGGTTAACATTTTTTTTCCCCTCCCCCTCCCTCTTCCGACCCTCACCGCGCCGTCTCCCGTGTGATTCCATCCGTGTGATTCCATGCGCGTGACGTGCCGGTGAAGGTGAAAAGCAATTCGTTTTCATTTTCTCCTTTTTTTCCGACTGACAAACTGGAGTTGAGTTGGAGTTGCCGTGTTGGGAGGAGCGGTGAGCACTTCCCTCCCCACCCCGCGCAGTAATTGACTACTTTCTTTTAAAAAAAAGGGAAAAACGAATATACGGCGAGATGGAGGGGAGAGAGAGCGGGAGAGAGAGAGAGAGAGAGAGGATTGGAGGCGCAAAATAGATTCGTCGGCGGGACAGGGGCGACGTAACGACTAATACGGAATAAGCAAGGAGAGGAGGGATTAGGCGCGTGAATCTGGACGTATTTTAAGTCAGAGATGCAGAAAAGCTCTCTATCGTCTTTGTTACCTAGAGGGACCTCGACTGCGGGGCGGGGCCAGGCGGGGCCAGGCGGAGCGCGGCCGGGCGGCGCGGCGCGGCACGGCAGCGGGCGGGGATGGAGTGGAGTTGTACCGAGGTAACCCTGCCTCCTCTGTCACGCCGCAGGCCGCGCAAGCTATTGGAGCGAACCGAAAATAAAATTAGAACACAAGTAAATTGTTGATATATATATATAAATTGTTGATATATATATATAAATTGTTGATATATATATATATTTTTTATATATATATATATATATTTTATATAGATATATAGATATATATAGACATACATGTGTATACATTCGCCTGCTTGGAGGTACCTACCAGCGAGTGTGCAGTCGGTGTTCATTGATTCCTTTCCATGTATTATATTTTTATTTTTTTATTATTAATTGATTAATGATGATTGAATTTACGGATTTACCTAAATTAACTCCAATTATTATCAGCCAGGAAGACTTTGCGACTGGTCCCTGCTCCCTGGCAGGCCTCGCCGCACCACTCACCGACTGCACAAACGACAAAAAACAATACTACGCCCGTGTATCCCTCCGTGTTCTGGCGCTAGATTCCTCCTCACCTCGCACATTTGTTCAGTGGCGCCCTGAGGCCCTTCCTCTTCGCTCTCGCGCGCGCGGCGCACATGACGCAGGGAAGAAGGGGGATAAAAGCCGGAAAAGGACGGCGAGTTTAAAAAAACAAAACATAATAATAATTAAAAATATATGTATATAATAAATAATAAATAATATAATAATTAAAGAAAAAATAGAAAAAAAAAAAGCCTGTAGGGGGGTGGTGTCCGCAGCATGGTCCCATCGGGGGCCAAGTCCCACTAGCACCGTTGAGCTACCTCAAACCCTGAATCTGGACGCTTTTGCGGAAATGGTGTTGAGTTTGCTGAACTGCACGTCTCCACAAACAAGTCCAGATTCAGGCGTTGAGGAAGCTCAACGCTGCTAGTGGGACTTGGCCCCGCGTCGGGGAAAAAGGATTGGTGATTACAAAAGAAAAGAAAAAGAAAGGACTGTTTTGCACGCCTGAATCGGGACCTATTTGTCGACACGTGCAGGAGATCGGGGATTGACCGAATCTGCCCGTCTTTGGCGTCGAGGTTCAGGTCGTCAATCCAGTCCTCTTCGCTAGCTACTACAGGGCGGACCATGCTGGCTGGCAAGAACAGGAAAGAAAGAAAGAAAAAAAAAAAAAAAAAAAAGAGGAAAGAAGAATAGCGCGACCGCCTAACGACTCGAAATCCGCGAGATTTGAATCGTCAACCTTGTTTTTTGTTAATTTGGGCCGCGCCACATCACTTTCCCAAACGTGAAAACGACAAAAAAAG